ATATATATATATATATATATATATACTAACCTTTTAAGGTACTGACTCAAGACACGTATTAACATATATTTCAATTCCTCAATTCATTTCAATTCCTCACTTTTAAAAGTATCCACAAGCCCTTAGGCTCAATAAATAACACAATAAGCTTTTGGGGATTTATCTGAACCAAAATGAAAAACAACAAGCAAGGCTTTTCCTCCCTGTTTCAAGAATTTAAGCTAAGCTAATCGCTGCTGGTTAACATGCTAAACAAATCTCAATTTGGGATGATCAAAGTATATTTGATCCAATCTACTGTTGTGTAATTTAACATTGATGACTCAATATAGAATGATCACCTCACTCAACTGAGCTCTTAAGAGCATTTTAGCATTTCAACCCTTTGTTTATTCACACCAACTTTAGATTCGTTGCTGAATTTCTTAATACATTTCTTTTTTTATTAAGTAACATTTTATTCCACACGTTATGAGAGAGTGACCCGCTCTTTTATTCATTGGCACTAGGTGTACACTTATCACAAAAGATGGAATAAAGAGGGGAATCAATCAGTCACACTTTATTAATATAGCACTGTTTGCACAACTAACCATACAAGTGGTTCAGAGGGTTCACAAGTCATTGCAAATGTTATGAACAAAACAAACTAAACACAAAAACTAATCTCTTTGAGAGGCTTACTTATTATTAAACACCAGTTCTAATACAATGAGTTACTCATTTCCGTTACTTTGTCTTTCAGTGGATCATAATAAGTGTTTCCCCTAGTTATGGTAGTAGAAAAACTGATTATATTAATATTACATTTTGGGAATTTGCCCTCTTGTGGAGACTTTGATTAGAAATTGACACAACTCTGTCTGCCTGCTTCATATGAAACTTTAACCAGCAGCGATTAGCTTAGCGTAAATACTGGAAGCAGGAAGGAAAAGCCTTGCTTGTTGTTTTTCATTTTTGGTTCAGATAAATTCCCAAAAGCTTATTGTGTTATTAATTGAGCTTAAGGGCTTGTGGTTACTAAGTGAGGAATTGAAATAGATGGTAATACGTGTCTTGAGTCAGTACATTAAAAGGTGAGCATAGGATATACTTTAGATACTGTTAATTATTGGGACAAAAGACTTGTTAAAGGTTACTAACTACCAGTGTGTGGGCTCTCCTCTCCTCAGGGCTCAGTAGCATACGTCCCGCAGCAGGCCTGGATCCAGAACGCCACGCTGCGGGACAACATCCTCTTCGGGAAAGACTACAATGAGCAAAAGTACCGCTGCGTTCTGGAAGCCTGTGCCTTAACTCCTGACCTGGAAGTGCTTCCTGGAGGGGATATGACCGAGATAGGAGAGAAGGTACAAAGAGAAAAACACTTCGCTTTCCATTCTTTTACTGAAAAACACTTTCATTTTCCATTCTCTCTCTAAAAAACACTTTCAGTTTCCATTCTCGTAATAAAAAAACCACTTTTTGTTCCTGTTTTCTGGTGTGAGCTTTGGTCATGGTTTCTGATGTTTCCGACATTAAAGAGAAAAACATTTTGAAATTGATTCGAGGGAGACTTCCATAACAAGTCTCCGTCTGACTAGTGTGAAGTATCCAGAAGTTTTATTTTTCATTGTTAACTGATTTATAGAACATTTTATTTTGTTAAACCTGGTGGAAATAGTTTTTTGTGACAGTTTTTTATGATTATGGAGTGATATAGAGAGATATCAAACATTTCCTCATTGGCCTAATCCAATGTTTTCTATTCCATATGCAAATAAGCACACATTTTAGTTTGCATATTTAAACATATTCATTGAAAAAGAAAAACGTAATTATTTTTAAGTTAATGTATTTCAAATGTTTCACCTCATTTATAGAACATTTTATTCCTAACAACCTGTCGAAAATTGAGTTTTCTATTAAAGTATTTCTGTTTATTGTGCATGTAGAGCAGGGGTGTCCACACCACGGCCCGGTGGCCAAATGTGTTCCGTGGTAAATTTTCTATTAGCCCGCAGCAAATTCAAAAAGTATAATGGAATATGGCCCAAACATGAAACTTGTGCTTTTCTTATATTGTACAAATATATTACACAGTATTCATTTGTTAATGAGCCCCATTTTCAAATATATTTGGTAAATTAAAGCTTCCAACACTTTTTGTAACAAAATATATGGAACCCTCTGGAAAGCTGGGATGCAGGCTTTTTTTTTTTTTTCAAGACAGTGCTCCACTTGCATTTTTAAACATAATAATTGAGTAACTCCTGTAAAAATAAGAACAAGCGTTTCCTTAATGAGTGACGTGTCTGTGTCCTGCAGGGCATCAATCTGTCGGGGGGGCAGCGGCAGAGGGTGAGTCTGGCCCGGGCTGTGTACAGCGACACTGACATCTACCTGCTGGACGACCCGCTGTCCGCTGTGGACGCACACGTAGCCAAACACATCTTTGACAACCTCATCGGCCCAGAGGGGTGTCTGAAGGGCAAGGTGGGAGAGCCTTATCCGGGTTTTTATCTTTCCATTAGTTTGTGATTTAAAAAGTCCAGAATCGCCATTTTAAACTGTGCAATGCCTACATTACTGAGGCTGATGCTACTCAACTGTGCAATACTAAAACACTTATTAAAGGTTACATTTGGAGCATTAATCATTAATATATTCATTACAACACTGAATAGATTTGTATCAGTTTATTTTAATTTTATTACATTTGTAAATTCATTCTATTTTATAAATTGTTATTTTTGAATGTTTTTCTCTTGTAAAAAGAAAAAATGTGCCAATGCTTGTCTGTAGTTTTGTAATATATGTGTTTTATTAAATGACAATGTTTTTTTTTCTTGTTAACTCCAGACACGTATTCTGGTGACCCACGGCATCAGCTTCCTGCCTCAGGTGGATAACATCATTGTGATTGTGGATGGCCGGGTGTCAGAGATGGGCTCCTACCAGGAGCTGCTCAAACAGAACGGGGCCTTCGCAGAGTTCCTCAGGAACTACTCCATGGAGGACTTCGTGGAGGAGGAAGAGCCCGCTGGTAGACCATCACTTCCTTATATTATTTACCTCATTTTGCATATTTTCTGCTTGAGCTGTATAACATACTGCTTCATTGCTTCACAGAGGAGATAATTCAGGATGAAGAACTGTTCCCTGACGACGCCCTTAGCAACCACGCAGACATGGTGGACAATGAGCCGGTGGTCAATGAAACCAAGCGGAATTTTATAAGGTAGAGAAATACTATTGTTTCCTTCCTTTGCCTTTTCTCTCATAAAAACTTTAATGAATCATTTTAGACATATTATGGAATGCTTTTCTAGTGGAGTTTTTGAATGTGGCTTTTTCTAATGAAATGCCATACATTGAAATAATATGTTCTCCCTTTACAGACAGATCAGCATCATATCAGCAGACGGAGAAAACCCGAGGGGCCGCTCAGTGAGGAGACACAACTGCAGTCAGAAGAAACATGGGGAGCAACAAGAGAAGAAGAAACCAAACGAGCTGCAGAAACTCATCCATGCAGAGACCGCAGAAACAGGCAGAGTCAGTCTTTAATTGTTCATTTTTAACCTCAGATGTACAGTGAGCCTTTTGAGGCCTCTTGTTAGGGCCCGAGCACGGAGCGCTAGGACCCGACGGCGTCCTAGCACGAAGTGCGAGGAACCTATTGTTATTGGTGGTATTATTCTTTTTCTTATTAGGGCCCGAGCACGGAGTGCTAGGAACCTATTGTTATTGCACGAATTCTTATTATTATTTTTAGTCGCCATCTTTCCTGCTTTTGAGGCCTTTAAAATGCTCAAAAAGTTGTATAATTTTGCACGGACGCCAGGACCGGTAAAAATTACAACATTCTGGAGTCAATGGGTTAAAATATTTCAACTTGCTCACTAGCGCCACCTATCAAAATCCCATTTCGGAATAAATTTACAAAGTCACACCGTAACTCCGAATGACCTGAAATGTCGCACACATATCCGGGTGGACCTGCTCTACAAATAATCCTCTTGAACCCTGAGCTCCGCCTACATTTTTTTTAATTTAAATTAGCATAATGTTCAAAACAGTTAAATATTCACTTAAATTTCAATTTTCAGTTTTTCAACACTAAACTTCGTATACAGCATCGGTGGAGGGTCAGACACATTACCGTAGAAAATGAGCATGTTAGGACGATAAATATTGCCGCCGTCAATCAAAACGTACTCGCAAAAAGGCGGGGCTTAGAAAGAAATGCTCATAACTCATCAACAATGGATCCAAACATCACATATTTTGGTGGCTAGGTTCAGTCTGTCTTGGGGAATAGGCACACAGTTTGGAATATAGGGGGCGCCAAAAACACCAATAATTTATAACTCAAGAACGGATCGACAAATAAAAAAAAAAAAGTTTTACACATACTCTGGGGGTGACT